TCATTTAACTTAATTTGTTATATCGAAACATCAAAATGTTTTCAACAGATGTGAATGCGATTATTGCTTACTTTGATTATAAGACACATGATGATCCCGGGTTTTTTATGACATACTCGGTAGACAAATCAGGGGCATTACATAATCTTATTTGGTCGGATTCTACATCGAGATCAAATTACATATGCTTCGGTGATGTAATTGCGTTCGACACAACGATAATTTGTATGGTCGACCAATTATGCCTATTGTCGGTGTCAATCATCACCATAACACAGTTGTGTTTGCCACTGCCATAATCGCTGACGAGACGTCCCAATCTTTCAAGTGGGTGCTACAGAATTTTTTAGAAGCCATGCTGTTGAGATTTTTACCCGCGAATCTTTTCATGCGTTCCAAGATGAACTTCAACGGGAGACATTGTACCGGATTGAGGAAGAGATTCAATCCTTATCAAATGAATGTCAATATTATATTTTGACAAAGTACAAAGAAAAAAATGGGACATTTGAAATTAGTTTTGATTCTCGTACAGAAACCCTAATTTGCTCCTACATAAAATTCAAGACCGTTGGACTTTCGTGTCGCCATCAACTTCACACTTTGAAGCACTTGGATTACACATATTTACCCGGGACTTTGATTCAAAGTAGGTGGACTAAGGATGCGAAGGCTTCTGCACCTAGTTATGTTGACTTGAATGTGCCTCCAGAAGTGATGCAAATGACAAGGTTCGCTGCTCTACGTTCAACGTCAAGTAGGTTATGCTACATTGCATCAAAGACAGACACATCTTTCAAAACCGTAATATATGAGATGAAAAGACTGATAGAAGAATTTGAAAACTCATTTGGTTTGAATGATTCAGTCAACCAGAGCAGTGTAGTAAACAACGTTCGCGACCCTCAATGAAAACAACGCAAGCGAAAAGAAGTACCGAAGAACAAGGTCGAGAAGAAAATTAGGTGATGTGGGTACTACAACGGTGAGGGACATAACAAACTAACATGTCCTCAAGTCAAGCGCAGTTTGAATATAAGCACACAACCTACATCAACTGATTTTTTTGAAGACGGAATAGGATGGCCATTCAGTCCCGCAAGTGATGACAACGATCTCCATATATCGTAAATATCAACATGACTCCTATTGTGTATAAGAAACATGTACAACGTATCACCCGTTGGACAAAGAAAGATCCCGACAAGGTACAATAGAACTCGGGCCTTTAGCTCATCCCCCCGTAAGATCCACTTTTGATTTCCTCTTCAAGTTCAACATATGTCACCTTCTGCTTCAAACCATATTTGGAGGCAAGTGCTTTCCATTTCTTACTCTTAGAGACTTCTACAACACTTTTGCCTTCATTTCCTACCCCCAAGACGGCTGCAGTACATGGGATCCCGAGAGGAAATGAAAAATCACCATATTTAGCAATACAATGTTTGACATCAAATTGCGCCATCAAGGATCGACACAATTCCCTCCGAATAGGTCGATCCCTTACTCCTACCAATGATCCAAACCCCATTTCTCCCAGGACATTCAACTGACCCTTCTCCTTAAGTTGTATAATTAATGAATTCACCCTTTTAATGTTGCACCTTGTCGACACTTCCTACATTTTTTAACAATATATAATGTTATAGTTTTTATATATTTTGTATCAATGTATTTACAAGTTTAATGAATATCTTCTTTTCATGTGCTTTCCTCTATTCTTTGTATTATTCATTATCCATCTTTGACTGTACGATGTAAGGTTCCTTCTGAGCATCAGTCATCGAATTCCATTCTCCAACACATCATTTCTCACCTAATATTAAGAATAAACATTTTTTAATCAATACATTAACACTAAATAATACTCAATGTCAATTTCAATTTACATATCGAACCGATGTGTTCGCCACCTTCCTTTATCCTTTTGCATTCGGTCATACTGTCAACATTTAAAATTTGTCATCAATTTAAAGTTCTTAAATACTTTAATCCAATTACCATTTCAACAATAATAACAAAAAGACATTGATACTTACTAGAAGTGCATATATCCACCCTTTGGTTGCTTTCGAGTCTCGGCCTCAATTTTAAAGTCATCTACGCCACCAACAATATTTCCACCCATTGACTCCATTTTTCCTTCATTTATCAATTTACGTAAATCAAATAAAATACTTGTTATATACATTTTATTCAATATACAAATATAAAACTCTTGTGGTAAAACGGTTTTCTTCAAAAGAATTTGAATGGCCATTACAAAATGTGTCGGCACATTTATACAACCTAAAATATCATTTTCTACCTATAATATTATATAAATGTATCCATATTTATTTTCTACCTATAATATTATATAATCGGTCCCAAATCCTTCTTGGCTTCGATTCGAAATCCCCAAACTAAACCTAAAAACCCTAATCCCTATTTCCTTCAAACGAATAGGAATACTCAATACTCCAAGTATCGGCACAACTCCAAGTATCGGCACATTTATATAATCTATAATATCATTTTCTACCTATAATTTTAATAAAAGTATAGATATTTATATTTTACCTAGAATATCACTTTCTACCTGTAATCAGTCCCAAATGCTTCTTTACTCCAAAACCCCAAACAACACATAAAAACCCTATTTTTGATTACTATAATAATAAAAAACTAGGGTTTTGACAACGTACTTTTTGATTCGACTGCAGCAACAAACAAACAAATTTTGCTTTAGAAACGCCTTCTGAAATACATCAACAATTATGCTTCGATTTTAAAATCTCATTTGTTCTATCTATTTTTCAGAGAATATTTAACTATGCCCTTTATATTTTCACCGGATATGTTATTTATATTTAATCGATACAACTACAAAAGTGTCGATACTTTTATGTTACGTGTCGATACTTTCGATAGTATAGTTACCTATTTCTTTGAAAGTATCGATAATTTATTATGCGTACTTATTAAAGTATCGACACTTTCAATATATCCGGTAGTGCTTTACCGGTTTTGTCATTTCGAGACCGGTTTAGTCATATTTTTACCTGTTATATCGTTGTGGACCTATACATTGTTATAAAGTATCGACACTTTATAGGCGCTAAAACTGCTTCTCTTTTAAATTCACAAAGTGTCGATACTTATATTAAAGTATCGACACTTTAAATATATTCGGTCGCTCTATACCGGTTTTGTCCTTTAGATACTGATTTTATCATATTTTTGCTTGTTATATCGTTATGGATCGATGCATTTTTATAAAGTATCGACACTTTATAGGTGCTAAAACTGCTTCTCTTTTAAATTCACAAAGTGTCGATACTTATCGACACTTTCAATATATCCGATCGCTCTATAACGATTTTGTCCTTTAGATACCGGTTTTGTCATATTTTTACCTGTTATATCGTTGTGGATCGATACATTGTTATAACATATTGACACTTTATAGAAGCTAAAACTGCTTCTCTTTTAAATTCACAAAGTGTCGATACTTATAATAAAGTATCGACACTTTCAATATATTCGGTAGCGCCTTACCCGATTTTGTCTTTTCGAGACCAGTTTTGTCATATTTTTACATGTTATATCGTTGTGGATCGATACATATTTATAAAGAATCGACACTTTATAGGCGCTAAAAATGCTTCTCCTTTAAATTCACAATGTGTCGATACATATCCTGTAGCGTTTTACCAGTTTTGTCTTTTAGTGACCGGTTTTGTCATATTTTTTCCTGATATATTGATGTGGATCGATACATTTTTATAAAGTATCGACATAAACCGGCAAGCTAAGTTTGCCGGTTGCCAATTTTTTTAATATTTCTTCATGATTTAGACCTACTACATTATTATTACTCAACATTTCCGGTAGCACTAAACCGAATTTGTTAAATATCTTTTAATGTATCCAGTAACGTCGTATATTAGCCCGCCTTTCCCGAGACATCCCCAAGTTAATGCTCTTGAAAAACAATTATGATTTTCATATAAATAGGGTTGTGTGCCTTACTCCACTTGAGAATTTCAATGATATGTCGTTAGCAAATTGCCACAAAAAGTAATGAGCAACATATATAGATTACACTCATCTCAGATTAGAATTGTAAAATTAAATATATAATCTGTCTTAAGATTGTTAGACAAAATGTTAATCCGAGATAAAATAATAATAATAATAAATATTATTATATAATCGAATAAAGTAAAATAAAGAAAACTTAAAGTATATGTAAGAAATTGATTTACTCATATTTAGACACTGAATCGGATGAGTAGAGTAATATAAATCGAAGAAGAATTTTGTTGAGGCATGTATGAACAGTTTCCTTAAGACATAATCATCATCTCCTAAGTGTTTTGAGTAACGTTGGATGTCGGTCTCCCAAGATACAATAACAAACGATCAATACAGTAAGCACAACCGTAGTGGTCAGTCGAACACAATCTTGCCTTTTTCTATCACCAGAAAGAACAAATTTAAACGAATTTTTAAGTGATTTCCTAATTAACTTTGTCTCTAAGATTATGCCTCAACTAACCTATTTATAGGTGAGGGGATATGAATCAAAAGGTTATGATCTATTGATGAATAATTAAAATATTTCATGAAAAGAATTATTGAAAAACTAATAGATACAATTAAATTGATACAATTTTAAACTAAAAAATAAGTCAATTCACCAAGTGACATGACTTATTATAATAAGTCTATTTACCAAGTGACGTGACTTATTATAAATAACATCAATTTTATTCAATTAAACTATTATTTTTCTAACAACACTGATGTGTCACCAGATGATAATATCATATCACCATTTTTAAAAAATAAAAAATTGTCAAATTAGCAATTTTGTTACTCTTTTCTTAAGAAGTGTCACCTAAATACAATTAAAATATTATGTTAGTGATGATTTTAAAAAAAGAATTGAATAATCTAAATATAATCAAAATAATAGTTAGATGATTAAATATCGTATTATATTTTACAAAGTAAAGGAAATGTGTAAATTTCCGTTGGATATGAGATTGGAAGAAGGGAAGATGGAAGCATTGACCCTAGATTTAGATTTAGAAGACTTTGAAAACTTCGAAACCGCCTCTTCTCTGCTCGCTTGTACACACTGATTTCTCTTTTGATTTCTTCTTCTTCTTCATCTTCCTCTTTTATCGTTGATTTTATCAAAGCCGCCTCCATCAGTTTCTCATTTTTCATTCTTCAAAGCTTGGCTTTTTTCACCCAAAAGAAACCAACCCACATCAGTTTCGACACAAGTAAGATTACCCATCAAGCTTTTTCACTTCTTTTTCTCTATTTAATTGGTTTCGGTGTGACCGAATTTTGGATTTCCTTTTCTCATTTGGTGATTTTCTGTTCTATTTTTATATTGGTGGATCTTTGCTTATTTAATGATTTTATCTTTTGTATTTGCCCAATTTGGGTTACTTGGGAACTTTATCTATCTTTTCTTCCTTAAATAGACTGACTGCATAAGTAATTCAGGGTTTTTTTTAATTTCAGTTCTGCAGAATTTCCATTTGAGAATTCTTGTAGGGTGTGCGATTATTGTAAATATAGGAAACCAAGTACTTAAGAGGGATATTGGCATCGTTGCAGCCTTCTATATTGAGATTTTTGTATAGATTTGAGTATAAGTCCCAAGTAAAGATCTTGGGGAGGGTTTAGATCTAGGAATCTGTAAGGTTTCTGGAGATGGCTAGTGTTCAAGATCAGTTGGAGATCAAGTTTCGATTGACCGATGGATCTGATATCGGTCCGAAAACCTTTCCGGCTGCTACAAGTGTCGCAACTTTGAAGGAAAGTGTTATCGTTCAATGGCCTAAAGGTTAGTTAGGTGTTTGATGAAATAAAATTGTATTTTGGATGTCATTCTTTCAGCTTATTTTTCTTGATAATTTGTTTTTGCTTACTTTTTTCCTCATACCATTTGATTTGAACTTGAAGGATTGGAATCCTGGGATCATGTTTGTGTCATTGTTTCTTGATGTTTTCGTTGTTTAATCATATTGCTGGTTTAATTTTCAGATGTGTGGAATTATGCTAGAAAATAGAATCATTATTAGGACCAAAAATTCAATCCTCCATAGCACAGTAACTTGAATGCTTTGATCAGTAAATGGATTGCAAATGCTTGATTACATTCGCAAATATGAATAGAATCCTGTTCAGGCCTTTTCCAGTTATAAGATTATTAGCTGTCAAATTTGTATTGGTTGAAGATTGTGGTGGACATTGTACATTTAAACCAACATACTATAAAGGTTTTGATTTTCTTCGTAGCACCACAAGTGTTTGCTCTTCTTTTTTATTGAAATGTGTGTTTGCCTCCAATGCGGGCTTTCAAACCATGTAAAGTGAGGCACAGTTGAGGCAGCGTCAAACAGTTTATAATTGTGTTCCAAACTGAGATGATCTAGATGATATTTTTAAGATTTATGCTAGTGTATTGTTTTTATCAGTTTTATCTGCTTTTATCTTATCCCTCTGTCTCACTCTCTCGATTCTTTCTCTTAAGTGCTTGCGTCTTTTATGTACTTGGTCCACGGATGGAAGTTTTGTGGTTGGTTTTAATTATGAATTATAGTTACTCAGCTCAACTTAAACCATGGTTTGAGCTAAGTTCTGCGATTCACATAGGTGGAAAGTGGAAAATGAAGTGACTTTTTATTTATCAAAAGAAATAAAAGGGGAAAGGAGACGGTTGTGTACATGCACTATGTCATACTAGATACAATAACAAATGGATTGCTTGGATTAGTTTTGGACTGCAGTTGGAGTCTTGACTTTTGTCTCTGATTGAATTGTCTTTTGTTATTCCTGTATATATGCCATAACCTCTCTGGTATTTTATTCCGTTCAAGCCATAATTAACATTTTTCCAATCAATTATACTCTTTTTTAACTCGGGGCAGAGAAGGAGAATGGTCCAAGGACAGTGAAGGATGTCAAGTTAATTAGTGCCGGGAAAATATTGGAGAACAGCAAAACACTGGGGGAGTGCCAGAGCCCTCTTTGTGATGTTCCTGGTGGAGTAACGACTATGCACGTTGTTGTTCAACCTCCTCTGGAGAAAGGTACGATTATTATTCATGCAATTCCAAAATCTATAATTTGAAGTTTTCCGTAATAACCTTGGTCCAAAAACTACAATCCATGTGGTTCCTTGAAGTAGCATTTTCATCTCTCTGTAATGTGCAGAAAAGAAAATAATAAACAAACCGAAGCAGAACAAATGTGTTTGTGTCATATTATAATCAGCAGCTTGAATAGTGGCTGACATTATTTTCAGGTGTTCTTTTGTTAATCACCATTTGCTTCGCTGCTAACCTAATCATTTGCTTTAAACTAAGTTATGCTTTCACAAAATTTTGTGCAGATGGAAGAATGGTGAAACCGGTATAGAAAAAGAAGTTGGGGACTTTTTGAACGATGAATCCAGTTGGTATTAATCACATTTAATATTTCGAATGTGTTGTTTTCTGCTTTTCTATGCCAAATTCATGTAGCCGATGATTGTCCTTGTATTTTGTTTACTGTGTTCGTTTCGCATTGATTTAGACTCTTGTATGGAGCAATTGAACCTCAGATTTTACGTCCGATATGTCTCACGGAATTCAGTTTCTGCATTTTGATGTTTTTAATTCTTCTTCCCTCTGTCTAATATGGTTCTTATTGTTTCATGTGTCATTGTACTAGGTTCATGATGCTGGTCATACTTTTACCAAGTATGAATGGTGAGTGCTAGATATAGAATTTGTTACTTGGATTCTTTGCGATTTGGACTTGTGTGATTGTGTCAAATATGTGTATTTGGATGATCGTATTCACATATTCATATGTATATTCATATTCCAATAGGTGTTGAACCAATGCATTTAGTTCAAACAACATTACTAACATGTCATTTTTGATATAATTGTCACACAAACAAAAACTAGAAGATACATAACATAAAAGTTGAGAGTTATGTTGTTCTAGTGGATTTATAATACTATAAATATTTTATATTTTAATAATTTACTTTATAGAAATTTAGCTTAATATAAAAATGTGCTCAAATCTTATTTAACAAATTTATAAATTTTTATACTTGCCAGGTTTATAAAAATTTTACAATTTTTATTTTAAAATAAAAAATATAATTTATTTATAGAAAACTTAATTTTTTCTTAAATTTAAAAAAAATCCTAATTCCAAACTTCTTTACCTACTTTGGTTACTTTGGTTGTTCTCGATGTTGTCTTGGTCGTCACCTATTTGTTGTTGGCACTTCATCTCATTAGAATCTAACACGTGACGGGAGAAATCGTCGCTTGAATAGTTGTAATCTACACCCTTAGCCGGAATCATTTAGTTGTTGCAATCGCCCATTTTTCATTGCAATAGTTGCATGAAGCATGGGAGTTCAATCGTTGAGTGTTCGGGCGATCGATACTGTCGGGATTTTCAGCCGGTTGGTGGCGTTGGTAGCCACGGATGGTGGTAAGGGGATTGAAGTTAAGTTTTTTTAGGATTTAGGATTTTCTTTTTATAATTTTAAGAAAGTTTGAATTTTTCTATGTTTTTTTCAAAAAAATAAAATTTTATTCTTGACACGTGTCTAATAATGACTGATATGGTATAGATACCTAAGAATATAATGAAGAGAATGTTACACATCTAAAAATATAACGGATAAAATATTAGACATCTAAATTTAATTTATGATATTTTTAAGCACTTATTTTTATGTAAACTTATAATTTTGACGATATTTTTCGGTTATAATATATATAAATATCACATTTATGTCGTATTACGTCTATTATACAGTTTAAAAAATTATTTATATTATATTTTATATAATCTAACATGGTGACCCAATTTAGCTTTAATATTTATCAAAAGACTCTTAAGTTTGTTATATTCAACAATTTGTCAACTCATCAATCAATTTCAATAGTAAAATGAATAAAATAATATTTTTTTAAGTTTTGGAATCAAGTAGTTATATTTATATAGTGTTTATGAATTATCAATAATTAAAAAAATATTTTAAATATATATTATCTAATAATCACCCAAATCTTTAAAGAGAAAAACAATTTATTTATCTAAAAAGTCTCGAGTTGAACAATTTTATATGTAGATTATATGTGTATTGTCGGTAATTAAATTTTTTTTAAACATATACTCGTAATAGAACATTAAAAAATATATTTCCCTTTTTCTATTATCTTCTGAACCACATGTATCCTGCCTGTCCATTGCAGTCAGTCAAATGACAAAATTACCCAAAAAAACAATTCCATTGATTAGTTGTTTTTGAATCTTGAATTGATGCTTCTCATGCACTTAACTTAAGCGGCTAATAAGCCTACACAATTTCTAAGATAAAATGGCACAACATTCAATCCAACATATTAAACGCCTTCAATTAAAGATTATTATTTCAACATGAAAAATAAGTAATGTCTTTATTTATATTTTTTCCGATTAAATTGGAGTAAATATAAGATAGTATATGTTCAAAAATAACTCTCAACCATTTGACATTGAATGTTCATACCCGTGGTATTTATGGTGCTCGAACTAGAGACCTCAAAGAACAATAACAATTTCTTTACCAACGAAATCGCTTAATTCATGCTCTTTATTTATAATTTTAATAAATAAATAAATAAAATTTCAAAATTGTGTATGAAACTAATTTGTTGATAGATTTTTGTTATTAATATTTGTACTTTATATAAGTTGTAGATTTATTTTTTGTATTTTAATTTAATTATTTTTAAATTATATATTTTTATATTTAAAATGTTGATCTTATTTCAGATGGTAGATGTAAAATTTGTTAAATTAAATTATATCATTAGTTCATATATTATAAGTTAATTGTAAATTTAATTATTATTCTAATTTAAAAATTTTAAACAATTTACTTTAATTATATATTTTAATTATTTTAATCCAGATTAAAATTTTAAATTTTAAACTATACAGGGCGTTTTTCCAAAAAAATCACCAGTGACTGTTATATTTACCGATCTAACACCGGCCAAACTATATTTCCTGATCTAACACCCTTTGCAGTAAGGCGCCCCCTGCAACGCGTTATACGCTGATTTGGCGCCACGTGGGGTAAGGCGCCCCCTGCGACTCGTCTTATGCTGACATGGATACACGTGGGTATAGCGCAACCCCTAGGGTACGCCTTATGCCACATAGGGTACAGCGCGAGTCAGGGGCCGTGCCTGACCTTTATAATTATATATAGCGCGGGGCAGGTACCGCGCCTTGTATAATTGTTACAACTTTTCTCGGCTATAAATACTCTTCTCCCCCGGGTTAAGTTCCTCACATCTCCTAACATCTCTCCTCTCAACTTAAAAATTAATACAACAATTCCGTCAACGAGTCAATAATTATGACAATTTTCTCATATTTTATTCAGAAGTTCGTGCGATTTTTCGTTATAAGGTAATCTTGGGCTTTTTTCCTCCGAAATTTACGTGCACGTGTTATCACGAGGGATAACATCTATGTCATTTCAGATCGCGGAGTTGGGATCAAAGCAGCAATGGAGTCTTTGGGTCCAATGTGGCAACCACCCTTTGTCCAACATAGGTATTGTTTTTAAGGTATACGAATTTGAGTTTCCCCCCATAGGTAATGACAAAGACCCTGATGAGGTTCAAGATTGGCTTCTGATTGTACCAAATCCGAGTTTATTGAGGGAGCATGGTCGTCCAAAATCCAATCGAATTCATTGCGATATGGATATTCGAGAAAGATCTAGACAAGACAGAAGATGTGGGCATTGTAGAAACCCAGGACACACTAGAAAAACATGTCCACTTCTGTTGCCATCAAGTAACAATTGATAAGGAAATGACGTATTTTTTATCAAATAATAATTCTTGTAGTTTAATTTGCATTTACTTCAAGTTAATGTCATTCGATAATCGCTGATGAAGATTAAAAAAACGATATAATAATACGAGATTGGACGTTTGCGTTATATGTGATTATAATAAAAGAGATAATAAGTGACAAACTTAAGAAAGTTATCGAACAATTTGGTATTTCAAAATAATTTTAAATACAACAAACTTACAATAAGTATTAAATGGTAAATGATAACCAAATTACAATAACTGATATTAAATAGTAATAAACAAAATGAACTGAAATACATTAAAAAAAGTCAAATAAATTTGACAAAATAAAGTAAGTATTAAATGAGAAATAATAAAAAAATACAATTAAAAAATCCAATAAACTAAATACAAATATAATAAAAAACAAAATCTATCGATGTTGCGACGCGAATGTGTTTCGCAGGGCGGTGGTTGTCGGTCTCGAGGAGGATTTCTTCGTATCACTGGTTGTGACTCCTCGCTATCATCATCATCACCATTATCATCGTCGTCGTCGTCGTCGTCGTCCTGAGTAGTTCATTAGGTTGATGAGGAGCTGATAACGATGAAACACCTCCATAGAATAAGGACCCTGGAGGTGTATGACTGACTATCCCACCGGCCTGCGAAAACTAGGAAAACTCATAAAACCCAAACATCGCTAAGTGTGAAAACTGTACAGGAGGTGTCTGTGCTACGGCCATGAGTGATGAGGCTGAACTCGCTAAATATCCAGTATATAAACCCCAAGTCGAATCTGCAAACATATACCCATAATAGCCTCTAGGAGATCTGTGATGGTGGCGGCAGAGGGGTCATAAAAGCAGGTGAAGGCGGCGACGACGACATCTGGTAATGGAAAAGCGATGGCGACATCATATATGGCTGCAGTATGTAAGTCGCTGGATATGGTGGCTGTTGTGAAGGTCCTGCTGGTGAAGCTGAGGATGAACAGGAAGCATCTGCTCTCCATTCACGAGTCGGGGGACGATGGTGCTGTGTCAGTGAACGTCTCTGTCGACGTCGCGGAAAGGTCTGCCCTCGTGTATCCTCGGGAAGCAGAAACGGTTTCCCGTTACTGTTGAACCACTCGTAATAACCGTCAGCAACCATCAAGAGGTCAAGTAAAATGGGCTCTATACGGGGAAGGCGCCAATGTCGATCCTCCCACAACACGACCCACGCATGATGCCTCACTAGCCAATTTGTATATGTCTTGCCGCGTCTATCTGTGCTATGCAACTCGTCCATATTACGAGGTGCTTCCGGAATTGGTTGAAAATAACCAAATTGCCAGAGCACGCGATCAGTAGAGTGCCACTTGACGGTCGCATAACAGATCAAGGGGATCGTCACCATCCAAACATCTGATGGGCCCCTCAACTCAGGTGGGATCACCGCCCTCACATCATCAGTAGAATATGACACCAATTCAAACTAAAACAAATATATATAATTTTTATCAAAATAATAATCTAATTATATAACTATAATCTAAAATCGATTTTTAAACATTAAAATTCATACATGTGTGCCAGCCTTCTGATCGATTAACACCCTAATTTTTTCTAAATCATCAGGTAGCTCCTGATGATTTTTCCTATCAGTAGACCACCTATTCAAGAAAATTAATTTCTTATTCACTGTATAAAATTATTAATATACAAAATCAGTTTTATAATTACCTCAAGAGTAGCGGAAATACGAATGGGTTCTTGACAACGGGACATAAAAAGGGCAATCGATACCATACCCAAGAGTGCAGCAGCAGGAGACATCCGCCGATAGCATTACGCCTGTAGTCAATGGCTCGACACATCTCCCTGTACAAGCATGCCAAAACTGTCGAGCCCCAACTGAGTGATCCGGCCAGATGAAAGTCGCCAAGATGTTGCAACCACATATAGTAAACTTGGTTGCGCGATTTGTCCGGCATCAGCAACCCTCCTATCAGCTGCAGTATGCATTCCCGTGCATACTGTTTAACTTCATCGTCAGACGCGTCCTCACTCAACTCCCGAAAATTGGCATCTAACCAATTTAACGGTATCCGTCCACCGTTAAAATTTTCCGGGACACGTCCTAGACTAACCCGGCACAAAGTAGTCCAAGAACCGGAAGCTATCCCTGATATCATACCTCCATCCACCGGAAGCTCCAGGTGCATAGAAACATCCTCAAGCGTGATCGTGCACTCTCCGTACGGAAGATGGAATATGTGGGTCTCCGGTCTCCACCGCTCTACTAAGGCATAAATAAGATATGATTCTATCTTACAGTGACCCTGATATCTACCTAGGTGACCGAATCCAACCTCTACTAAATATGGCATTACACGAGTAAGTATAACTAACTTAAGGTTCCTAATAAAAGGATCTAATATACGGTGTCTCTCCTAAAATATAAATAATTACACTAATTAATTTTTAAACTAATAATCATGCATTAAATAAATAAATTAATTAAATTAAAACGCTAAAATGTTACCGTATCAGCAAAGTGTCGAGTTATATGATTTCCATCCAACCAAAGTAGATCGCCTTCCATTTTATATCTGCAAAAAAAATTAATTAAATAAAATATTAAACAATTAAAATAATTAATTAAATTACAAAAAAAGTACTAAATATAATAAAATATACCTTAATAAGAGAATGTAAGAGTATTTGAGAGAAGTTGAGATAGGATTTGGTGTGATGAAAGTGATTGAGAATGGGGTATTTATAGGGAGGGTGGTGGGTGTGAACGGGCGGGGGTAATTTGGTAATTAAGGGTATAGCGCGGGCCAGGGGCCGCGCCTTACTGACGTGTGTCAGAATCACAGGTAAGGCGCGGCCCCTGCGCCACACTATACCTTTAATTACCAAATTACTCCCGCCCGTTAACTCGTGTATCCATGTCAGCATAAGGCGCGTCGCAGGGGGCGCACCTTACCCCACGTGGCGCCAAATCAACGTATAGCGCGCTGCAGGGGCACGTCTTACTGCAAAGGGTGTTAAATCAAAAAATATATCTGACAGATATTAGATCGATAAATATACCGATCACTAATGATTTTTTTGAGAAAAACGACCAAAGACGGAACCTGTAATTTTATTTTATTTTTTTCATCACCGTGTACTAAATAATAATTTGAAATTTAAAATATTTGAGCTCATTTAGTGGCAAGTTAAATCTTGGATCATGAACCGCCTGGGCTCATCAACCAATATATTATTAGGTAAATTACATGTTTAATATTCCAATAATCACTTTTATGTCATTTTGATCATTTAACTATTATTATTTTTAAATCATACTTCATTTTATTTTTTAATTTTATTTTGATTACCATTAGTTAAAAAGTTAATAGAACTATGCCATATCATTTTAAAAAAAATTCTTAATGATGATGTGAAATTATCTTATGGCGACAAGTAAATATTATAATTAATTTTTTAACGCTGACTGACCAGAATGAAATCAAAACGTAATATTAATATGATTTTGAAATAAAAAAATAACCGAGTAACCAAAACAGAACAAAAGTGGTTGCTGAGATACTAAACATATAGTTTACCCTATATCTTTTTAGGTATAATGTCAAAAATAGCCTCATAACGTTTATCAAAATGATTATTTTCGCCCCTATTATTTTTAGAGCATTTTGCTTCCAATGTTTAACTTTGAGGTAAAAAACTCATTCTATAGATGAAAGTCATTAGTTAACATAATATTAACGTTTTAAAATAGGAGCTTTTTAACTTAAAATGAAACAGTGAGGCTAAAATATAAAAAAAATAATAAAATGATTATTCTATCAAATATTAAAGATATTTTTGATTTAATATATAATGTTAGTGACTAAATATTTTAAAAAATATAATAGAGATAAAATGATTATTTTAATAAATATTAAAAAAAGACCGTACATAGTTTTTAAGAAAAATAAAAGAAATCTCAAATTATAAACAATTTACCATCATAATCACAAAGGTAGCCACGTGTATGAAGATAAAGGATTCTCCACGCTTTCGCGACATTTCATGAACTCTCTCCGCTTAAACCTCTCAAGAACGACTCCCATAAAAAAACTTTAACAGATACGGAAACGAGAAACTCGGACAATAAAGCCCTTAAACAACAAACAGAAAAAAGAGACTTACACTTTCCATTTTCTCCTCATTCTCACGCAAAGCAATTCGTTTTTTGGTATTTCATTTTGATCACTCTGAACCTTGTTCCCACAATGGCTGCTGCTTCTTCAATGGCGTTTAGTGGCGTCAGTTTATGTACTATGCGTTCCATTTCTAATAACAACACTCTCTTTTCCATTCACCCATGCATTTATTCAACCTTGCTCTCAAAACCCAATTCTTTAAAATCCTTTAAACCCCTACGGTTAAGAAAAAATGGGGATATCGAGAGGATTTCAAGGACTTCTTCGAGGTCTTTTGTTGTTCGTTGTGAAGCTTCAGCGGGAAGGGTAAGTTCGTTAAGTACTTGATGGGTTTCGTTTCATCCTCAAGATATTTCGTCTGATCATCTTGTTTGCCGACCCAATTACGAGTAAAAGAAAAATATGTTTTTAGATTCTTTTAATGAATTTAGTTTTGTTGGTGTTAAGGAGATTGAATCTGTGTTAATTTAGACTTGTCAATATCAGGAATTTAAATTGCCGTTGCAGCCTGTTTTTGGCGTTGCGTTTATCATTGTATTAACTTTAGATAGTTTTGTTGCTATGGCGTCATTGCGGGCATTACGGTTGTGAATTTTTTTTTATATGAATTGATTTTTTTAAATTACAATGGCTGTAATTGGTTGCTACCCGTTAAATTGTGGCCGTGATCCACCGCTATTGGTGTGATGCGATTGCCATATAGGGACCGCTATTCCACTACGCGGCTGCTATTTGAATACCTGGTCAATGTTTTATTGAATTAAGCAAATCTGATTATTTATGAATTTAAGCTTTGCTTATGGTCTTATTAAGTGTTTTATAATTTATTTAGCATTGGAAATTTTGATCTTTGTATAACAATGCGAAGTAGCTTGGTTTTTTAATGTTGTTTTCATTTTAGATTGTTGATTGAGTCGTTTTTGGGATGTTATGACAGATTACTCAACAAGAGTTTACAGAAATGGCCTGGCAAGCCATTGTTTCTTCTCCAGATGTGGCTAGAGAGAACAAGCATCAAATAGTGGAAACAGAACACTTGATGAAGGCCCTCTTGGAGCAGAAGAATGGTCTTGCTCGTCGAATATTTTCTAAAATAGGAGTTGACAACACTCGCCTTCTTGAAGCCACCGATAAGTTCATCCAACGGCAACCAAACGTGACCCCCTAACCACATTCTGATATAATCTCTTCCAAGTTTTATAAATTGTCTTCAGTCCTTCAACATTGACTAGAATTCTCTTATTCTTGTTTATTTTTGGTGCATTTGTTTACATGTGATTGAACTTTGATGCATTGTTTGCCTCTATGGCTCTTGAAAATATTGTTTTCTAAAGTTCTGATTGGTGAAAAACTTTTACATTAAAAAATATGTTGAAGTACAAATTTTGATATTTTTTAGTTAGTTATTGGATGTTAACTATGTCCCCTTTGTGGATTACAAAGTTGCATGTCCTGATTATGTATCTTCTATGCTGTCCAACCATACTAGGTTTTGGGTGAGTCGGCTGGCTCAATGTTAGGACGAGACCTGGAAGCTCTGATCCAGCGTGCTAGGGAGTACAAGAAGGAGTATGGGGATTCATTTGTTTCTGTTGAGCATTTGGTTCTTGGATTTACACAAGATCAACGTTTTGGGAAGCAATTGTTCAGTGATTTTCAAATATCCAACCAATCCTTGAAATCTGCATTAGAATCCATTAGAGGACGTCAATCAGTTATTGACCAAGGTAGTGGGATATTCCATTTCATTCATTTTTTTACTTGGTAGTTGGTTGAATGAACTTGGCACATGCAGAAAATAGCTAGGTATATTCGAGTTGTAGATTTAAGAAGCATTTTGTCCTTCCTTGAGTGATGACGTATATTGCCTTTTTTGTTAATTCCTTGTATTGGAGCCTTTCCTTTATCCGGACTAGATCCTGTCTACATGGGTTTGTTATCCATTTTTTTTACTTGGTGGGGTGTATGGAGACAGCTTTGCAGAAAGTGGGTGAAAACTGGTCAGATATTAGGTTTCTGGTTACAAATTTGAACCAGGTGTTTGATTCATAAGCTGATGGACCGAATTTTGTAATGATTTCAAGTGTTTTTGGTTGGTTTTTTCTTAGCTAAAAATATTTGGACATTTTCATGTCTGCTGTTTTTTAGGCATCATATGTTGTGGATTATAGCTTAATTAATGTTTCTTGTCCTAATTCTCCTTCTTGAGATTTAATGATAATGTTTTCTTGTTGCTTCACCTTTTACCTGACACTGAGTTTTTGACTGCAGATCCCGAAGGAAAATATGAAGCATTGGAAAGGTATGGGAAAGATTTAACAGCAATGGCAAGAGCTGGAAAGCTTGATCCTGTGATAGGAAGAGATGATGAAATACGCAGGTGCATCCAGATCCTCTCTAGGAGAACCAAGAACAATCCTGTACTGATTGGTGAACCGGGTGTCGGAAAAACTGCAATCTCCGAAGGGTAAGCAATAGTTTCTTAGGTTTTTCTTCATGCGTGCTCATATAAATAACTTGCAAGTAAACAGAACTATGTATGTTTCAGAACTGCTCTTCTTTAAGTTCCTGGCCTATCAGAATAATTCCCCAATATATCACTGATATTCAATGTTATGAGCTTTTTGGTGCCCCCGTTATTAACCAAGGACTTAGTGTTACCATGTCGATTTGAATTTGGTCAGTAAGGTGCTGTATAAGCCACTTACAATAACTAGCTCCTGCACTCCTGCTACTGGTTTGTTTGTAATCAGTCTTAGCTCAATGACTAATCATCAACATATTCTCATTGTGTTTTTTGACAGGCTTGCCCAGAGAATTGTGCAGGGCGATGTGCCTCAAGCTTTGATTGATCGCAAGGTGTGTGCTATGCATTGAAGTTAACTAGCATGTATAGATATTTTTCATGAAAAATCGATTTTTGTTTTTCATTGGTGGGTGATGCCTGGGCATGCTATCCTGGCTAGTGATAAAATTATGGATACTGATTGAATCCAGTTTTGTTTGTTTGTTTATCTTCTACAGCTTATATCCCTCGACATGGGTGCACTCATAGCTGGGGCTAAGTATCGGGGAGAATTTGAGGACAGACTGAAGGCAGTACTTAAGGAAGTAACAGAATCTGATGGCCAAATTATCCTTTTCATTGATGAGATTCACACGGTTGTGGGGGCAGGTGATGTTTTGTTATGTTTCTAGTTTATATAATTTTACAAATATTTAAATATAATTTTTTAATATAACTTATTGATTAATTGAATATAAGACATACATATATTTTCTTTATAAAATTCATATAATTTTTTCTTAATTTGATCATGGTTTATCTTTTTATTCTTTCCAGTGACAGAAAAAAAAAGCCTTATGTCAGATCTTTTTTAAGGATTCAATTGATATGATATGTATTTTAAAATTTTTTCTGTTTCAGGTGCCACAAATGGTGCAATGGATGCAGGCAATCTTCTGAAGCCTATGCTTGGCCGGGGAGAACTGCGTTGTATTGGAGCAACAACACTTGATGAATATCGAAAATATATTGAGAAAGATCCAGCTCTGGAACGTCGTTTCCAGCAGGTTTATGTTGATCAGCCAACAGTAGGGGATACAGTCTCTATACTTCGAGGACTTCGTGAGAGATATGAGTTGCATCATGGAGTCCGTATTTCTGACAGTGCACTTGTAGAAGCCGCAATCCTGTCTGACCGTTATATTAGTGGTCGATTTTTACCTGACAAAGGTAACAGCTGAGAGTTGGTTACTGTCATACAAGATGCAACTTGATACTGAATGTTATTGATTAATGGCAAGAGCCGGAAATATTTATCTCTGGTTACTAACAACTTTAACTCTTTATTTTTCCTATTTTCCCAGTTGCAGGGATGGTAGCTATGTTTAAGACAATTATATGCTCAAGTTTCTTAATCAATATGTTAGGACACTACATCTTTTGTTTCCGGAAATTAATTTTACTAATATTTGTTTTCATATTGCAGCTATTGACTTGGTTGATGAAGCAGCTGCTAAATTGAAAATGGAAATCACTTCAAAACCCACTGCCCTTGATGAGATTAATCGTTCAGTGTTGAAGCTGGAGATGGAGAGGCTGTCTCTCACAAATGATACCGACAAAGCTTCGAGAGATAGACTGAGTCGCCTTGAGTCAGAGTTGTCCCTCTTAAAGGATAGACAGGCCGCGTTGACTGAGCAATGGGAGCATGAGAAGTCTGTCATGACACACATTCAGTCGATAAAGGAAGAAGTATGCTCGTATTTATCTAGAAATTACTCTGAAAGCATTTTTCCCCTGCCATCACATATTTTGTAATTCTCATCTGCGAGTTAGACTGCATCTTCAGATGTAACAGCAATGGAGAAGCCAGTGATGGGGCTGACTTTTATTTTAATATCAATTGAAGACAAAAGGATGTATTCTGCTAACTTCTTTAAATAATGTAGATTGACAGGGTAAATGTGGAGATCCAGCAGGCTGAGCGGGAGTATGATCTGAATCGTGCAGCTGAGCTGAAATATGGGAGTTTGAACTCTTTGCAGCGTCAACTTTCTGATGCAGAAAATGAATTAGATGAGTATATGAGATCTGGAAAATCAATGCTGAGAGAAGAAGTTACAGGAAATGATATTGCTGAAGTAGTTAGTAAATGGACTGGCATACCAGTTTCCAAGCTTCAAGAATCGGAGAGGGAGAAACTATTACATTTGGAAGAAGTGCTGCATAAACGTGTCGTTGGTCAAGATCCTGCGGTTAGATCTGTAGCCGAGGCCATTCAGCGATCTCGAGCTGGTCTCTCAGACCCCCGCCGTCCAATTGCCAGTTTTATGTTTATGGGTCCAACTGGTGTAGGGAAGACTGAACTTGCGAAGGCCCTTGCGTCCTTCTTGTTTAATACTGAGGAAGCACTTGTCCGCATTGATATGAGCGAGTATATGGAAAAACATGCAGTTTCGAGACTTATAGGTGCTCCACCTGGTTATGTGGGGTATGAAGAAGGAGGACAGCTGACAGAGACTGTTCGCCGTAGGCCATATGCTGTAATTCTTTTTGATGAAATAGAGAAAGCTCATGGTGATGTGTTTAATGTTTTCCTTCAAATTTTGGATGACGGGAGAGTCACTGATTCACAGGGTCGGACCGTGAGCTTTACCAACACCGTTATCATTATGACTTCCAATGTGGGTTCACAGTACATTCTAAACTCGGATGAAGAGAAGCCTAAAGATCTAGCTTATGAAACCATCAAGCAGAGGGTGATGGAGGCTGCAAGAGCGGTCTTTCGACCTGAGTTCATGAATCGTGTTGATGAGTATATAGTGTTCCAGCCTTTGGACCGCAAAGAAATTAGCAGCATCGTGAGGTTACAGGTAAGTTTCTTTGATGACTACCTTTTGCATAATTGCTTGCATGTGAGTTTACATGATGTGGATTTTATTATAATTGAATGATTCCGAATTCTCAACCATGTCATGTACATTATAGATATGACAAGGACATTAATGACGTTATTTAACTATAAAAAACTCAAAAAATAAACTACTATGAGAATGGTAAATGATTTACTAAAAAAGTTCAGTCTACAAATATCGGAGTTCGAATAACATAGGATTTGTAAGCACTTATCATGTTGCCAAATTTACATTGTTTCTGTAATAGTTTGCGACTCCATTTTCTGTGTTTGTTTTACAGCTGGAGCGTGTGCAAAAGAGGATTTCAGATAGGAAAATCGAACTTCGGGTCATGGATGCCGCTGTTCAGCTTCTTGGTAATCTTGGTTACGATCCCAACTACGGTGCTAGACCTGTAAAAAGAGTGATTCAACAGAATGTTGAAAATGAGCTTGCCAAGGGCATTTTGAGAGGGGAGATCAAAGATGAGGACACCATCTTGGTAGACACGGAGGTAACACCATCTCCGAATAGCCAGCTCCCCCTGCAGAAGCTAGTCTTCAAGAGACTCGACGGTGATATGGATACTCAAGCAACAGGTGGTCAGGAAGCTGTATCTCAGACTGTCTGAGTTGCACTAGAGTGATGTCTCAGTGTTCAAATGTCCGATTTCCACAAGAATTCTCAGGTTTTCATATTCCTAAAAGACGAATCCCATTGCATTAAGCAACAGAAACATGTAATTCACCAGAATGTCTAGTAGTTGAGTTGCTGAATGTATATTCAGCAATATCCCATGCATTACTGAACCCATCTCGTATAAATTATATTATGGTAAGCGAGGCTTTTGAATTGTAAATGCTACATGAAGCTCTAATCAATCCATCACCAATTGAGCTAACACCTTTCATGTTTTGACTATTTCATTCGAATCGATATAGCTAAAGCATTCGAATCGAACTAGACTTCGGATCAACTATGATTATAAGAATCCTTCAACCAATGTTTGTAAAATAAGATTGGGTATAACAATCAAACCGCTTGGTCTTATATCCCCTAAAAATAATTTAAAGATATGTTTAACCAGTAAAAAATATATTAAAAGATTAAATTAAAACTGTTGGTGTAAAATTTGGCTCGGCATCCTCGAATTAGTTCATTCAATCCAGACCACCTGTTATTGCCCTATTCCCTTTCTTGAGCATGCTGTTAATAAAATTTCAGCATCTTAATAGCAGCCTCTCTCTGCTGCAAGCTTCTATCCACTGAAGCAACTACTAAATCCCCAGCCAAATAAGGTAAATGAGTCGATGGTTCTTAGTCATACAAGGCTTGATATGGGGTGCAGTTTATGGCTTAATGTTGTTGTACCACCACTCAACTAGGTGGAGCCAGCTACTCTATTCTCTTGATTTTTCACCTGTCATACACAGTAGGTTTCCAAACACAACACCTATTCATCCTCTCGGGATGATAAGTTGTAACCTATAGACCTAAGCGATCAGCTCGATGAAAGCTCACCCCATATTCCATGTGAATCAGTTGATTTCGATTAGACCAGACCGACCCAGAGAGGAACGTGCCCGCAAGGGCACCACCAGATGCATAGGACCTCGGCCCACCTATTCGGGTATTGTATGGATAAGCAGGAAGGGGTGCTTCTAGGTGTGTGTAGGGATTGTGTTTGCTCCCGAGAATGGATTCCTCATCAAGTCAGTTTGGGGGGTGTGGACACACTTGTTCCAATTATTGACTAGAGGGGACATCAAAGGCCTTCGCCCTTCTATCCCATGGATAGATAAAGAGGGAGGGCAGAGCTTTTGGTTTTTTCATGTTGTTAAAGAGTTGAACAATGAATTTTTTGTGTTGTCAAAGAGTTGAACAATGAAAATAGATGATGAGTGCCTGATTCGTCTTGGATGTGCTATCGGAGGCTTTGGGGAAGTCGGAATAGGAGAGCACTCACCTCACTGTTACTCCTAACTTCTGGAATAGCTCTTTCCATAATATGCTCTATCAATATCCTATCTCGATCACACACAATATTCTCTGACAGCTCATGTAGCTTAAACTATTTTCTATAAATACCTGAGCTATGATTATAAGTGTAAGAGGGTGCATCAATGCTATAAAATGGTCATATGTAGTCAATTTGTCCACCACCACCATCACTGCATCTTTACCTAACTTGGCAGTTTCTCCACAAAAACCATGCTAATGGAGGTCCAGACAGCCTCTGGTATGGGCAAAGGTTGCAGGAGTCCTCTTGTATGTTGATGGTCATCCTTATTTATTGGAATATAGAGTGCATGGATGCATGTTGACGTATGGAGGCATGGTTTGAATGATCTGGCCTAGGGTTTGTTAGGTTGGTGTGGTTGTTATACCTTGCTGATGTCATAGTTTATTATTAGGGAGCTTATATATCCAGTATTGTAGACGATTTGTATTAAGGGATCTTATCGATAAACAATTTATTGCTTTTAACATGGTATCAGTTGTTTTTCGTGCTTGATTCTTTCGCTCTCGTTGAGGTGCCTCATGTTGGTGGTCCGACGAGTGATTTGGACTCTACTACTGTCATCTCAAAAGGTTTTCACTAACAAGCGCCTCAGCGTTGTTTTAGATGAGACAAATTATCTTTTGTGGAAGGAACAAGTTCTATTAACCATCTGCCCAAATGATTTTTCTTAAAAAAAAACATTTAATTTTTTAAAAGCTATTTTTAAAAGATCTCGTTTTGAATAATTTGGTGACCTTTTAATAATAAAACATAGTTCGAGGAGTCGCCACCAATATTTATTAGGATGTGTTTGGACATCAAAAAATGTATTTGTTATTTTAATAAAAATATTAATTTTAATTAAAACAACAAATTTATGGTTTGCGTTATCAAAAATTTGAGTTCGGGAGTTGGTTACGTGTGGGGAAGGATTGACACCCTTACAGCCCCTAAATCGTTACCTAGTCGATTAGTTAGTTATCTTTGCAATGAAATTTACAAATTCGATTTTAAATTTAAATCTCTTTAAATAATATTCTTTGAATTTTAGGATGAAACATAATAATATTTAATTATTTCTTATCGAGCAGAATCAAACTCTCATAGCTTCAAGCAGTCAATCCCTTCTCCAATTGAAATAAAGAAATATTACAATTTCATTCTAAAGTTCATTAACAATACCAAATTTAAATGCATAAATAACAATAAAATAAAATAAAATAAATTTAAGATTTTCTTTTTAAAACATATTCTTTGATTTTAAGAAGGAAAATGATAATATTTAATCATTTCCAATCGAGAAGAAATGACCTATCATGCCTTAAAGCAGTCATTTATTACTCTAATCGAAATAGAAAATATTACTATTTCATCCTAAAATTCAATAGAAATTCGAGGGCTATTTATTTTGATATCCCATTAAAAACATACAAAAATATTACAAACATATATCAAACAAATACGATTAATTAATTATTTTACCAACCATTAATAAGAATAAGGATGTTCAATTATTTAAATACATCGAGACAGGACTTTAGATTCAATCTAACAGTTTTTTCTCAATGAATTTAATTAAAAGAACATGATTTTTTCTCAATCTCAAATTTTAAATGTAATCAATTTTATTCGTTTCACTTGATAGGATACTTTTTTATTTTAAGATTAGTGAAAGCAACCTCTTATTCATTAAGACAATCACTTTCCCTACTATCAAAATAAACGGATATTCCCTTAATCAATATTTTAATCGAATCAAGAAATACTTATGAGGGTTTCATACAAAATTAATTTAAAATAGAACCTAACCCAATATGCACCAAATTACTCATTGACATGCATAGCATGCCTAAAAATAATAATACAATTAATATATATATATATATATATATATTATTTATTAAAGTATACTACACTTAATAAGCAAACATTAATAACATTAATAATATAGCATATATGTATGAATTTAAAATTCATAAAAAGTAACACATAAAAGTTTTTCTATGTTTTCCTATCTATTTACATGTATATTCTTAACTTAGGACAAAAATGATTATATTATATCTATAAAATGTAAAACACATGTATATATGTATGTATATATATATAGTAGTTAAAAAGAAAAATAAATAAAATAAATACATATATACAATATAGGATATTTTATAAATACATAAATATGTATATATATGAAAGAATAAAGTAAAACAATGAAAAGTATATGGATTAAAACGTATTTAACCCATTCAAAACAAGGATTAAATCATAACATGACAAAAGAATAAGGAATATGCATGCTAATAAATCATATCATTCATAACAATATCTGAAATAAGCAAGGATTAAAATGAAAAATCAAAAAGTAACATGTCTAATGTACAAACAAGCATAAACTCGAAATAACTAAGCCTAAGGACTAAAATACAATACGTGTAAATTTGAAGACAACCTCATAAACTTCAAAAATCATGAAATAGGGCTACAATGAAACATGAAGAAAATAAGGAGCTCAAAATCAAATAGAGTAGTTATTAAAATAAAACATTGCAAGGCCCAGGATTCTTCTCGCGTAAATAAGCCATGCGCCTGTTTTTGAAAACCCTAAGACCTTAAATTGATGCCGTTTTGGATGACACTTAAATACCTTATTATAGATTTTGGGGAAAACCTAAACCCTATTTTTTCGTCTAATTGCTCAACCCCCTCTCCCAAACTATATTTTTTCCTCATCTTAATCGAAAGAGGAGAAGGTTTCCCCGCTGGCCGCATCTCTACTACTTCAATAAGGGGTCGATGTGGGTCCGATGACCCTCTGTTTTCTTCCTAAAAATACTCTTTTAAACCCCCTAAAAATAACCCCGAAATAACCCCAAAATAACACAAAAATAGGCCACCTTTAAGTTTTTCGATTTGCTTTCTTCCAGTCATGCAAGGATCTTTGGGTTCTAGAGGTAAAATTTATTCCTTTTTCTTTCTTTCTTTCTTTGTTTCGGTTCTTATCTATTTTTTCCTCAATCAAAATTTTTTCTCTGATTTTTTCGTTTTCCAAAAACCGAAAAAGTCTCATTGTTTTTCCTCGTCTTTTGCATGTTCGGTGAGGCTAGAACCGAGGGATGATTTCCCCTAAACTTCCATTAATTCATCCCGATTTTCTGGGATTTCAATAAATTTTTATTAGATTTTTGGTGATTTGGTTTGGTAGACTGATTTTCTTATTTGGTTTTGCTGTGGATGAGAATGGGTAGTTAAAACAGTGGTTGGATCGTCGGGAACAGCGGTCGAAACGGTGCTGGCAACGAAAAACTCTTATCAACGTATGCGATAGTTGGAATGAAAAACTAGGGTTTCACCAAACTCTAATCTCGGTGGGCTTGGGTTTGGGCCGGCTGTGATGATTTAGTTCGGGTCCGGTTGGGTTTGTAAAATTGGGCCAGTTGGACAGGTTATATTTTTTGTAATTTGGGTCTGAAAAAGAAATAAATAATAATAATAATAATAATAATAATAATAATAATAATAATTAATAATAATAATATTAATGAAATATCCGGGCGAAAACGGATGTCGACAGCTGCACCTCTTTGCCTATTTTTTGTTAACAATAATAAGGCAAAGATGAAAAGACAATGAGTTTTCG